GGCGTTGCGCTAACAGATGCCCCAGCCTGGGTCGTTCGTAAAGACACTTTTATTTGGCTCACTCTTCTGGTGGCTGGAAAGGTTAAGACTGGCACCTGCATCTGACGAGGTCTGCAAGCTGCTTCAGCTCATGGAGCAAGGCGGAAGGAGCTGCTGCCGGCAGAGAACACTCGGGGGCAGACGGGGCGGGCTCTTTTTAACAACTGGTTTTCTCGGAGATGACGGAGGGAGAGCTCAGTCACCCCCAGGGAGAGCATTAACCTGTAAACCTCATGAGGGATTTATCCCCGAGACCTAAACTCCTCACACCAGGCCTGCTAACACTGTAGCCAGGGGGACCAACTTCAACATCAGCTTTGGAGGAGGCATCTATGGCCAACTGACTTCCAACAAGGACGCCAAGGCCCTCCATGTAAAGAAGAGTCTCTGGCAGAGCGCGGTGGCTCACGCCTGTAATCCCAGCACTTTGGGAGGTCGAGGCGGGTGGATCACGAGGTCAAGAGATCGAGACCATCCTGGTCAACATGGTGAAACCCCATCTCTACTAAAAACTACAAAAAATTGGCTGGGCATGGTGGCATGTGCCTGTAATCCCAGCTACTCAGGAGGCTGAGGAAGGAGAATTGCCTGAACCCAGGAGGCGGAGGTTGCGGTGAGCCGAGATCGCGCCATTGCACTCCAGCCTGGGTAACAAGAGCGAAACTCCGTCTCAAAAAAAAAAAAAAAAAAAAAAGAAGAGTCTCTTCAACAAACGGTGCTGGGACAACCAGTAAGCAAAGGAATGAAGTTGGACGCCTATCTTACATCAGATGAAAATATTAACTCAAGAGAGTCAATAGCCTAAATAGAAGAGCGAAAGCCAGAAACCCTAGACAAAAGGCGAATCTCCATGCTGTTGGCTATGGCCGCGGATTCTTAAAATGACACCAGGAGCCACGGCAACATAATGAGGCCTCCTCTCTTCAAAAGATGAAAAATAAAAAAATCAGCCACACATGGTGGCCTGTGCCTTTGGTCTCAGCTACTCAGGGGGCTGAGGCAGGAGGATCACTTGAGCCCAGGAGGTCCAGTCTGCAGTGAGCCACGATGGCACCGCTGCACTCCAGCCTGGGCCCCATCCGAAAAACAAAAACAAAAACACTAGAAGCACAAGCAACAAAGAAAAAAATAGACAAATTAGACTTCATTAACATTAAAAACTTTAATACATCGAAGGACATTATCAAGAAAGTAAAAAGGCAATCTACAGAGTGGGAGAAAATGTTTTCAAATCACGTATTTGATAGGCGTCTAATATCCCAAAATATTAATTCTTACAATTCAACAACAAAAAAACAAACAATGCAATTTAAAAATGATGGGCCAAGGGGCTGGGCTTGGTAGCTCACGCCTGTAATGCCAGCACTTTGGGAGGCTGAGGCAGGTGAATCAGCTGAGGTCAGGAGTTCGAGATCAGCCTGGCCAACATGGTGAAACCCCATCTCTACTAAATACAAAAAATTAGTCAGGCGTGGTGTCAGGTGCCTGCAATCCCAGCTACTCAGGAGGCTGAGGAGGGAGGATCGCTTGAACCCAGGAGGCGGAGGCTGCGGTGAGTCGGGATGGCACGACTGCACTCCAGCCTGGGGACAGAGTGAGACCCGGTCTCAAAAGCTTTCAGTCGTAGTAAAATCAGAGGAAAGACAGGTATGACATTCAGTTTTGTTCAGCGCCATACACAAGCCCCCAGCATGGGCCAACGAGGACCTTGAAAGCCGTGTGATGCTCTAGTTTTTCTTGAACACAAATATTCTCACCCACCTTTCAGAGAGTGGCTTCTACCTGTCTAAATCACTAGGCGTGAACTCGTGGAGTTCTATGGGGGCAAAAACCCCTTGAGGTCGGGTTGGCCACGAAGCCTGAGATCTCCCCCAATGTATGAATTAGTTTTGAATTCCATATACCCAGCACCTCACTGACACCAAGCGTGAGGCCTCAAGAATCCGACTGGAAACTGTCTTCAGTGAAAACTAACTTATCTTCACTTATTTCAAGGCTGGTGCTAATTGTTGTTGTTGACTGTTCTGGCCTCTGATTAGGGGACGTCTCCTGGGTGGGAACTGTCAGGGGAAGCTGTTTGGAAGGCGGGAGTGAGCCAGACCACATTGCAAGATCCAAACCAGGGAGCAGGCAGAACCCAGAAAGCAGGCTCTCTGTGGACCTGGGAGCAGGCAGAACCCAGAAAGCAGGCTCTCCGTGGACCTGGGAGCAGGCAGAACCCAGAAAGCAGGCTCTCCGTGGACCTGGGAGCAGGCAGAACCCAGAAAGCAGGCTCTCTGTGGACCTGGCAGAGGCTCTGGGAGCTGGAAGAGAGGCCACCTGGTGGCCCTGGAGCAGAAGTCCACGACACGTTCTCACCCACGTGTCCAAACAGCTCCTGAACCAGGTCCCATGGGGAACTTACCAGATGAAGTCTCTTTACAGAACGCGCCGGACGTAATCCAGTGACATCACACACGCACCATCTCACACCCACAAAGGGAATCCCCAGGTCTTGAGTACGTGACGCCTGGAAGCCTCATATACGTTCTGCAGGCATCGCCCAGGCACGTTTTCCATACGGATTAGTTGAAAAGGTTCCAGTGAGCATGGAAAAGCGACCGCGGCAGTGTCTAGGGCACAACAGAGAGCTCTCTCCACCCTGCCTCGGGAATTCCAGGGTGACTGTCACTGGAAGAACAACAGGCATTGGCAGTGTTTCCTGGTTTTTTGGCATTAGCCCACAAACCCAACCACACTCTGGATTTGTCCTAGAGCGTACCCCTTAGCTAAAGCCATCCACACATGACGGTCCTGTGGATTTCCTGTAAGGAAAAGGAAAAGATTCAGACAGCAGGAAATAAGGGTTGGGGGAAGGCGAAGGCTTTCACGATGGCACAGAAGTCTTGGTCCACGATCTTGGAAAAGCTGTCAGCATTTAGGATGCCATCTGTCTCTGGGGAAAACTTCCCTGGTCAGCTTTACCTTAACGTCTCCAAAAGGTGTGTTTCCAGGAATCTGGAGGGGTCTTTTTAAGTTTGGGGTTAACTTATTTTTCTAAAAAATGCAGAAGTTCCAGGTCCATAGTTCTTATACACAAAATTGGCAGGAGTCCCAGAAGGTGGCTCCCAGACTCCTTGATTCAGACAAACCCATTACCAAAAGGGACCTCCGGGAGGCCTCTAACTGGATTCAATGCAGTTAATTTTTGGATCCAATTCAATCCTGAACCCATTCCAGTCTAAGAATTGCTCAAATTCAGAGGGCTTAGAACACGTTCACAGAGCATAAATCCAGCAGCGAGAACCCACCTATGATTCTGGTTGCTTTGAGAGATCAGTCGGCATCTGGGCCCTCTTAGCCATTCAGTGTTCCTAGCAGGTGGCTGGAGGTCTACATCAGATCCCACTTCTGATGCCAAGCTGTCAAAACAAAAGCTTTGGACAAACTAAACAGAGTTGTTTTTGTTTTTATATGGAGTCTCACTGTGTCACCCAGGCTGGAGCACAGTGGCTCAGACTCGGCTCACTGCAACCTCTGCCTCCTGGATTCAAATGATTCTCCTGCCTCAGCCTCCTGAGTAGCTGGGATTACAGGTACCATGACGCCCGGCTAGTTTTTGTGTTTTTAGTGGAGATGAGGTTTCACCATGTTGGCCAGGCTGGTCTTGAACCCCTGACCTCAAGTGATTCACCCACCTTGGCCTCCCAAAGTGCTGGGATTACAGGCATAAGCCACTGTACCCAGCCAACAGAGTTTAATCGAGCAAAAGATAACTCATAAATCGGGCAGCACTCGGAACCAATGGGGAGGTTTGAGAGCTCCACTCTGTAATGTGGGCGGGGAGTCTTCAGAGTCAGAACACAGAAGTGACATATTAAAAAAAAAGCACAATCAGCTTGATTTTGTTACAGCTTGAGGTGTCTGTTTGCCTTATATAGTCATGGTCAGGTCAGTTGGCAGCCGGTCATTGGCTGAGACCTTGCCACTTGTTCCAAAATCTACTTCTAAGTTAGGCTTTTAGTTTGTTTATGAGGTACATTAGGTCACAGTTTGTTGTTACCTAAAACTCAAGGTACAGAGGCAGCCTCGAGGCCAAATTTGAGTTAATTTAGCAGTTCAAACAAATACTTACACACCAATGTTGATAGCAGCACTGTTCAGTTATTTTGAAAGCAACCTAAATGTCTGTGTACAGCCTTATGTTTCACTGGCCATAACGAGGACTGACACACTGACACATGCTACCGTGTGGGCGAACCTTGAAAACATGCTCGGTGAATGAAGCCAGACACAAAAGGTCACATAGCACAAGGCGTGGACGGGGTCGTGATTGCTTAATGGATGGGGGTTTTATTTTGGGGTGGGGAAAATGTTTGGGGACTAAATAGAGGTGGTGGTTGCACAATATTGTGAATGTCACTGAATTGCTTAAAATAGTTACTTACATCCCATGATGATTTTATCACAATAAAGATTATTTTGTGAAATACTGTGATGTTTGGGATTTGCTTGAAAATAATGTGGGTGGAGTGGAGACATGAAAAGTTAGAAAACTCTGGCGTGCAAAGGAGACGTGGGCCGGCCATGGATCCGTCTCCAGCTCGGGGCTGGGGCCGCGGCAGAGGATCTGCGGACAAAGATGGGGGCGCGAGTTCCGCTCCAGGCCCCGGCAGCCGCGGCAGAAACCGGCTGGACCGGAGCGGGGGCGCCGGGGGGACCGTCCTCCTGGATCCCACCTGGGGAATCCCAACCCTCCAACCTCGAGGCCGCGGGTTCGGCGCTCGGCCCCCACCCGGACCGCGGGCTGTGCCCCTGCGAGACCCGGCTCCGAGCCCCACGCGGTACCCCCGGGACACCCGCGGGCCGGGCTGGGCCGGGGCGGGGCAGGCACGAGGCCGCGCCCTGGAGGCGGAGCCACAGCTCCCCGCCCGCCCCGCGCCCCCAGCCCTCCGCGCGCGGCGGGACAGACCCTCAGCCCGGCCTTGGCTTCCCGGAGGCGGGGGCCGCCCGCGCCATGGCCGCCCCCCAGCCCGAGCCCCCCGCGGGGGCGACCGCCCGGCGCCTGGCCCGGGGCTGCTGGTCCGCCCTCTGGGACTACGAGACGCCCAAGGTGATCGTGGTGAGGAACCGGCGCCTGGGCGTCCTGTACCGCGCAGTGCAGCTGCTCATCCTGCTCTACTTCGTGTGGTGCGCGCGGGGCGCGGGGCGCGGGGCGCGGGGCGCGGGGCGCGGGGCGCGGG